CTTCACGCGATATAAAATCTCAGGCAGGAACCGCAGGAGGGGGCCCAACTCCCCCTCCTATGCGACCCCGGTTGGGTCGTCTAGCTGGTAGATGTGGAGGATAGGGACCAGAGGGGCAGACGACAGAGTCCAATGATGGGAGAAAAAATACAATTAAATATAAATATAGTTAAGCATTAACCGTTGTATGCATACCGCGACCTGCTTGTTGAAATACCGGGATTCTGGGCAGTTAGTTGGTGGTTACGATATTATTACTAAAGGATATACGCGCCCCAGGTGGTATCTTATCTTCGTCCAAGCGTCCAAATACCATTACACCAGCCCACCCTGAGGGGACATGTAGATAGGCAAAGGTTAGAACCTGAAGAGGGGGAAATAGCAGTCCATCTCAAGGATCAACTCTAGACTTCGAGGATTGGAGCCTGACAATCCTCTCCCGCACATCTACCGTGTGTAGAATTCAAGAGAGCTGCGCTCTTCGCTACCAAAAGGGCAGAATCGACATCAAGGGGAAACTAGGGCAAGCAAACGTAGGCTGCCAGCGGCTATTGTGAATGCGAAGCAATAGAAGTAAGTGCGGGAGCGTCCGATGGTAAATCAGGAGAGAGCTACATATGTAGACTACATTAGTAAGCCAGAACATGAAGAGAGTAAAGTCGGGGGGGGGGCTATATGCTGCAGAGGGTCACGAAGGACGGCGGTCTGACGCCATGACAGTCCCAAATAACGCAAGAAAAGCACAAGAAGATGCACAACAGAAACACAAAGAAAGGTACAGGCAAACATAGCTTAGAGACAGCGGCGCGGCGGGAGCGGGCCAGACAGCAAAAAAAGGTGTTACGTACGGTGCTCCGCGCACGGTCCAAGAGAAGTAAGGGCGGCGGTCGTCAAAAGTATTCTGCTACTGCCAAGGGTGGCTATTTCCTTTCGTGAGATGTAACGAAGAGAGGAAGGTAGAGAAAGAGTGACCAGAGAGTCGAGAGAGGCGAGCCGGAGGCTCCCCATCTCTTCCCTCGGCAATCGGCCATGGACTTCGGAAGAGACAAATCTCCTCAGTTCTTTACTTGCCACTTCTTCTCCCGATGGCAAGTTCCCCCGAGGAATCAGATCTTCCGACAGTTAGTTTGTATGTGCACAAATGGTTAGTTATATATTCCGGCAGGTGTCCTCCACATCGCCCCCCCCTCTATGCGCCACAAGTCCATCTTTGCTAAAGATATGCTTTTGGCGTCCAGAGACATGAGTGGCTCATGGAGACGCATGTATCGGAAATAACCATCCATTGTACAACACCATCGACCATGTCTGATTTATCGTACATACAACGCGTGTTGAGAAACACGGAGTCCTCAGACGGGACGATGAATGTGGTCCAAAACTGGTGGGTACTGGGCTATCATAATGACAGCTATANGCGTCCAGAGACATGAGTGGCTCATGGAGACGCATGTATCGGAAATAACCATCCATTGTACAACACCATCGACCATGTCTGATTTATCGTACATACAACGCGTGTTGAGAAACACGGAGTCCTCAGACGGGACGATGAATGTGGTCCAAAACTGGTGGGTACTGGGCTATCATAATGACAGCTATAAGGGTACTAGATCATTTTCCCATGGTCATGATCGCGTGGCATGCCATGTGTGGGGTTGATGTGGGGTAGACTTGTCATGAGGTGAACCTCTGGCAAGTCCGCCTATTCATAATAAATAAGATCTTGGGGTAGCGGTGGCTTACAATAAATTCTCCTCGCTAGTGTTTCCTCAAACACTGATAAACTAGTTGTCTCCGATGGGCGTAACCTACGACCGTGGCTACTGGTCCTGTGTTAGAGATAACCACAGAATAGTAGTAGTAGAAAAAAAAATCCAAGTCTAAAAATAGAACTGGTGTAGCTGCTAGAAATGGTTGAAATGCATCAATCATTTAATTTTCGTGCCCTAGTTCTTGTTCGTTTGCTAGTACGACAGGGCAATGTAGCATCACCTAGTGTCGTAGCAGAACGCAACGAGGGTAGATGACATGTCCTTTCAACACTTCTCCGTCGTTTGTTGGTGTTGCTGGGTGGCTCAGAGTCACTTCGCGTAGCCAATTTTCGAGGTGAAGATCCATGCGGATTAATGGCCTGTCTCCGTTTTCGTTTCCTGGTTTTACTGGGTGATTTTTTATCTCCCTGTTCAACTGGGGCACGAGACGCAGAGTTTTTCAGGCGGCGCGATGTCCAAACCACAACGAGTTCGGTAGGCAGCTATCACTTCTTGACATTGTGGAATTTCGTCTGCTCTGTACATAAGATCCGACTCAGGACCGTATCCACGAAGACGCAAACGGTACTCACTTGTAGTTATGCGGGGTGTTCGGCCCCTTACCACTCTTCTTATGGCANGTAGCAGAACGCAACGAGGGTAGATGACATGTCCTTTCAACACTTCTCCGTCGTTTGTTGGTGTTGCTGGGTGGCTCAGAGTCACTTCGCGTAGCCAATTTTCGAGGTGAAGATCCATGCGGATTAATGGCCTGTCTCCGTTTTCGTTTCCTGGTTTTACTGGGTGATTTTTTATCTCCCTGTTCAACTGGGGCACGAGACGCAGAGTTTTTCAGGCGGCGCGATGTCCAAACCACAACGAGTTCGGTAGGCAGCTATCACTTCTTGACATTGTGGAATTTCGTCTGCTCTGTACATAAGATCCGACTCAGGACCGTATCCACGAAGACGCAAACGGTACTCACTTGTAGTTATGCGGGGTGTTCGGCCCCTTACCACTCTTCTTATGGCATACCACTTTGTCAACGATGTAGGACTCAATTTTCGGTTGAGTTTCATCGGGATGGTCTAGCACGGGCAACGGAATTTGGCGTCCTAAGAAAAACTCAGAAAGTTTATCAAAGTCGGGCGCAGGTGGCGTTTTCCTCGCATAATACCGTTTAATATTGGCCAAATGGACCGAAACTTTACGAGTTTTATTCTGGCGTCTCACTCTATGTACCACAGGGGATAACTGGGAGCAGATTACGTAAGGCCCACGCCACGGTAATGACAGCTTCGGATTTAGTCCATCCGAATCCTGGTAGGGTCGGTACACAAGTACTAAATCGCCAGGTTTAAACACAGGGATAGGATGTAGTTTAGCATCCTTGGTAGCTTGTTTTTGTGAGCGTTCCGACAAGTTACGGCGCGCTATTATATAGTTCAAAAGCAAACTGTAGATTTTCCTGTCTGTGTGGTTTTAGAGAATTCCTCGGTGTTTGCTGTTGTTCCTACATCAGGAATACCGACAATATTTATTTATTTATGTATATACCGACAATATTGTCAACTAGTAGACGTGGCTTCCGACCAAACATAAGGAAAATCGGCGTTTCATGCATGGTGGAGCTAAACGATGTGCTGTAAGTCAGTTGAACACACGGCTGCAGTCATGCCCAGTTATCGCGGTTCATGGAACTATGCATGGCAAGCATTGCGTGCATGGTTGCATGTACTCGTTTTGAAACGGAATTACCCTGCGGACGATATGGAGTCGTGCGGGTCTTTTAATAGTTCAGATCCGCTGTAGTTGCTGGATTGTACACTGTTCTCAATAACGCATTTTTAATGAATTTTTTGGGGGGTATTTAAATTCCTCTAAATTATTGTCCAGACAGTGGTTTACAATATCATAGAATTGATGTCTGTAAATTTATTTAGGTTGGTTAATGTAAATAATAAAGTTATGCCTAGTGATAAATATTTCATTATCTTTAAATAGATTTTCATTTATTGTTCATAAGGGGATTTTCAACCTTTGGATTCAAACGTACAAAAAAATTACCTCTCTAAGTAGATAAACCTTCAATATTGAGGAAGATTTACGGCCTATAAAGAGGTTCAAAGGTAATTAAGGTATAAACTATCGTCCTTTGTGTTTGAACCCCTTTATAGGCCCTTTTTGATGGTATATATATACCGAGACACAATAGAAAGTCTATATTATAAAACTATCTACACCGCATTGTTTATATCAGAAACCCACGAAACTAAATTATGTCCCATTAACTTTACCCTCCCAATTTTAGGCCGTATCCCCTAATAAGAGAAAAGAAAATTATTTATATTATTATAAATTACCAGTAGTACCTATATTGCAGAAAACAAAGCTTTAAGCAAATCTGCGTCATGTTTTAGATATGACCCTAACACCACTTTTAGTTTAATGCTATTGCTGCTGTTTGTTGTTAGTTGCTTGTTGATTATTCGTATTCCTTCCGCTGCTTCGCAAGTTCATGCGAGTTGTAGTTCCTTGTTCTTGTTCTTGTTCTTGTTCTTCTTATTCGTAGTAGAAATCCCCCTCATATTTTGAAGTATCTTTCACTTCCCCCTTTATTCCGGGTGTGTATGTCGACATCCGAGGAAACCGATAGTTCATCTTCCGGTTTGTAGTCGCGTGATGTTCGTATATGTCCTTTACGTGGAAGGGGAAGACGTTTTATCTCTTGTATTAGACACGCAAGGGGAGTAGGGAGAAGTGAAGCCCTCTTTGGAGTTCGAGGGGTCCCCGCACATGCAACCATTTCAAGGTGTACATATGCCCTATCTGCGTGCCCTCTGTTGTTGCCGGTAGATCTAACCAGTCCGTATCCAAACACACGAACACCCTCCCCGGTTTGCACGCGAATGGCAAACCAAAACGTGGGGCATGGATACCCCTGATCTACCAAAGGGACTCAAAACGACAACAGACTCGCGGGAAAACCCGGCCAACCGGATCAAAAACCCTCGTCTAACACCCTAAATATAGAAAACCGTCGCTATCACGGAGGATTCCAACGG